CAGTCTTGTTTGTTCAAATTGATTCATAAATCCATTGCTTCTTAATGAAGATTTGTATTGCCTAGTTGTTTAGATTTGTTTCTTGTAGTAGTATTAGGTTTAAATTATAAAATTTTAAAAATATCATTGTTTTTTGTCTTTTGTTCTGATCATTAAGTCTCTTTATATTTAGGGTAGCAATTTTAATTATTGCTTTAGTCATTAGATATTATAAGATAAGTGTGCTCTTATTGAGCTTTTGAAGAGTTCTCCTCTGTTTGTCCTTTCTTGTATGAAGCTTGTCTTACTGTTGCTTGTTTACGTATATTTTAATTTATTTGTTTCTTTTTTTTCCTCTTGTAGGATATAGTTGTAAAGTTCTCTTACATTGGAATTGCTAATGATATATTCTCTTGAAGAGGATTATTCTCTTTATTATTATCTTTAAAAAATGAGCTATCTAATGCAAGCTCATCTTTTGTTATAAGTTCTGCTTCTGAAAAAGTGGTTGCTTGTTTAGCTTCTTTTTGAGCATCCTCCATTTCGTCATCTATGCTATGAGAGATATCCTTTATCTTTTGCTTATCAGGTATTTCTATACTTATCGCTTCTTTTTTTGATTCCTCTTTCTCTTTAGTTTTTGAAAGACTTTCTACTTTTTGAGCTATTTTGCTAAGGTAGTCTCTGTTTTTTTGTCTTGAAGGTTTCTTTGAACTCTCAATAGTGTTATCTTAATGCAACTAACTCTTTGAATTGAAAGTATTCTTTTTTTATATACCTTTTCTGGTTACAGAAGTAGCAGACTTTAGGAGCTGCCTTCTATTTAGTTGTGATTTTGTTGTCTCTAAGATGGGTAAAGCAAGAGATTCACTTTTCTAAATCTCTATCTTCTATTGTATCAAAAATGACAATCTATTGATCAGTTAAATATAGTGTTCCTTCTATTACTAGTGGTCTGATTGAGGCTATTTTGCCAAAATCTTAAAATGCATCTTTGATTAGCATTGTTATTTTTTCTTTTTCTCCTAGTAGAACATTTCTGAGCTTTACTAGAAGGAAAGACTTTCATAAGTCTGTTGGAATATAACCAAAGTATGATTTGTTGAAGATATTGATACCCTTGACTATATGATGACTAAGAGTATTCTTGTTGGAGAAGATAATTTTTAAGTATATATGGTTATCCTTTTTAAAGTATTGCTTTGCTGCTATAATATCTTGTTTAATATTTTCATAAAGTAAGATCATTATTTTATTAAAAGAACTTTGAATATCTTGTATTTTGATAATTAATACATTCTCGTTCTTGGTTCTTATTTGTTCTCTAGAAGAGAAGGCTGCATAAGTCGATTGGTCCCTTTTTAATTTTGCAAATAAACTTGATCACTTTTTGTTAGTTGTATCTTTTGGTTGACTAGTATCTGCTTTAGCTTTTCTTTTTGAAGTTAAGCTTTCAATATATGGGTTATTTTCTAAGAATTCAGTAACCTCTGGTGTGTTTTGTTCTATTGGTTGTTCTTGATCTATAGTCACGTGATCTTGCACATGTTCTATAACATGACTTGTTTTGTTGCTTTGTTGTTGTTCTACATTTTTATGTGTTGATGTGTTTGTAGAGATCGAACTTTGGCTCACTTCTTCTAGAGATACTAGTTCCTCTTAGCTAGTATTTTTTGTAGTTGTTTTGACTGCTTGTATTAAAGTGGCTGCATTTGCAGTAATTTCTTCTCCTTGTTGTTTTAATATGCTGTTTATTTCTTTTTGTTCGTCAAAGAAAAAGGTTTGTATTTTTAGTTTTTTGTTGCAGGTTTCTTGTATTCCAAAAGGAATATATCTTCTTTTCTTTGGTACAAGAGCTAGTGCCCTTGTTGGGCCTTGTTTTAGATTATTTGTAAACTTGTATTAAGTAGTTATCGTGTTTTTTTGTTTGCACTCTTTCTCTTATGAATTTGTATGAGAGAGAGTTTGTATCGATCCTTTTGATAGAATTATTTTAGAAGTTCTATATTTACAGATAATTTCTTCAAAAATAAATTTTGCAAAAGTTTTAGCTCTAGTATTTGGTACAGTATGGGCTTCTGGCCATTGAGTTAATTAGTCTGATGCTACAATAATATAGCAATTGTTTTGGTCTGTAATTAGTAATAGTCTAACTAGATTAATTTCAATTCATTCAAAGGTTTGTCTAATTTGAATTGGGTATTGTTATAGTATCATGGTCTTCTTAATAGTAGTACTATAACAATAACACGGCTATAGGGATCCTTTATAAGTTTATAACAGTATTTAACAAGTAAGTATAATTTTTACTACAACTAAAAACTATATCCTTCTGTCTGTAGCAGTTTGGGCAGACAATAGTTTATAGATAAAATATATGTTTTATTAGAGAGAATAAGATAAGCTATCTTTAGATTCCTATTTCTAAAGAATCCTATAATATTATAAGAGAGAATTTAGAGAAGAGAGAAGTCTGGTCTAAAGGTGGACAGTGCAGGTCTAATATTAACTTAGAGAAATTTATATCCTTTTTATATCTTTAAAGCTAATCACTAATCGTTGCAGCTAAGCATAGTTTATTTAGTACTAAGCATAAAGTGTAATTGCTAATTGTTAAGTATTAAGCACTAATCATAATTGCTAAGCGTAATCATTAATTATTAATCATTAATTGCTAAGTGTAATTGCTAATCATTACCGTATATTCCTGAAAATAAGCTACTCCAAAAATAAGCTACCTTCCTTTTTTGGAAGAAAAATATAAAAATCTTTTTTGCCTAAAAATAAGCTACTTTATGATCATCAGTAGTTACTCTATAGTAAAGTTGAAATTTTACTAAGTAACTCGATATAGCTTACTAAGTAAAAGTTATTTAAAAGATCAAAATACATATATTCTGAAAGTTTCATCCAAATCAAATAACATTTTATTAATACATTTTTGCATGTTATGCTTGACGAATTTTTTAAAATTTCTTTAAAATTTTTTTAAAATTCATATTCGTCAAATGTAAAAATCAAAAGTCAATTAATAAAAAGTTATGCAATTTATATAAAAGTTTCAAAATATATGTATTTTGATCTTCTAAATAACTTTTACTTAATAAGCCATTTCGATTTACTTAGTAAAATTTTTTGCAATCGACAAAAATCCACTTTTACCCAAAAATAAGCTACTTCTAATATTTTTGTATAATTTTTCTTCCAAAAATGATAGTTTATTTTTGGGAATATATGGTAATCGTTAAGCATTAAGCATGCTACATGTCTGTTAAATTTTACTCTAATAATAATAACTAAATAATACTAAATAATAATAAGATAAAATGATAAATAATAGAATACAATATTGAAATAATAAACTAATAAAATAATAAACTGTTCTATAATATTTCTGTTTCTTTATAAAAATTTGCTCTGTAAATTCTTAATTAAAGACTGATATTCTTTATCAGTAAACTTGACAACGTAGGTTATAGTAAAGTATCAGGTCTGATACAACAATTCTTTAGGTCGAATACTAAAGATTTGTTAGAGTCGAGTAGCTTCTTTCCAAATATCTTGAATCTTTCAAGAATTTTAAGAAGCTTGAAGGAGTTCATGAATCTGTTATCGTCTCTGAATAAGAATTCTTAAATACTAAGAACCTTTATCTGTTTGGATTGAGTTCGGCCTTTATCTTCTAATTGTCAAAAAATTTTGGTTAATTAGTTTTTCCAAGTTCTACTAATAAAAGGGTTAGGATGGTTATATGATAGAGGAGTAAGAGGTTAAGTGAGTTCATCTTGAACTTTTTGAAAAATTTCTGTTTCTGGTTCTATTTCGGGA